TGAGCACATCTTTGTAGTTCTGTGCTTTCCCCTTTCCCCACCGCTGCAAAACCCGCTGCTAAACCCGTTTCCACGTGGTAAATAATGGAGGGGGGCACCTTTCATCAATCTGGGGAGGGGAAGCAAAGGGTTTAAGTGCTTTAAGGAGGGATCGCAGATCCACCTTTACAGTGGTTTCTCCAGTGGTGGCAAAACTAAGACATTTCCCCCCTAGATTGATTTTTGATTTGTTATTTATGCTTTATACCGTATTTTATGCTTTTTTTGTAGCATCAATTAAGTGTTTTAAATTTGTTGTTAGCCACCCTGAGCCCAGTTTCCTTAACCAGGAAGGGTGGGGTATAAAATTTTTTTTATTATTATTATTATTCATTATTTAGCTGCCTGAGGCAAAGGACAAGATGGCGGTCTCTTCCCAATTCCATGTATGGAAGGCGACTGGACTGGCTGAACACCAACACTGGTGATGGGGCAGTATCCTTTTCTATAACCAAAGGCAGCAGGTTAGCTTAGAACGCCCAGGCTACGTGGCACCCACAAAAACACTGCTTTTCCCACCTGCCTAATGGTTGGGCTGGTCCTGACCAAAGGTCACTACCTCATCAGATATTTTGAAACAGCCTCCACTGCCTCTTCTCTTTCCTTTTTTTGTGCAAAAGCCTTTTGAAACGAATATATCCATTTATTTGTTTGCAAGCAGCAGCAACCTACCCACAATAGCCCTACCTGCCCATCCACCCCTCATATGGGTGGGGTAGCAATTAATCGCCCCTTTCCCCACCCTGTGTTGCTCCTACCCTCATCCCCTCTGCATTTCCCTTAAAAAAATAGTGCTCAAAATATGGTGCCACAACTCTATTATAGACTACCCTGCAAGATTGTCATACACTTCACTCACACACATACCCCACCCATGGGCATAACTGCAGTGCGCTACTCTGCAGGGCTGGCGTAACCCATACTCTCTCATCCACCATGTCCCACTCCCTATGGTCCCAGTACAGGTATATGAATACGGATATGGAGAAACAGCAACCCTTGTTCCCACAGAAGGAAACGTAAGTACAGTATGGTATTTGAGAAAGCTGTGGTTTGGGGGGGGGGTTAAAAAGTTGAAACCATGTAGAGTCATACCTCATGTTACGTTTGCTTCATGTTACGTTCTTTCATGTTACGTCCTACGGCGACCCAGAAGGGTTACTTCCGCGTTTCGCCACTCGCGCATCCACAGAAGCGCAAAATGACCTCACGCACATGCGCAGAAGCAGCGAATCGCAATCCTGTGGGTTGCGCTCTTTTCATGTTGCGAACGAGCCTCTGGAACGGATCCCGTTCGCAACCAGAGGTACCACTGTAGGGCCATTTTGAACTGTACAATTTTTAAAAGTGTGGACCTTAAGACGATTTAAGCGTACTCATGAAAATGTAGTGTTTGAATGCGGCCAAACACCTGCTTGGCGCAGGTGCACCTGCCTGCCACCCTGGGCTGGCAAAACGGCGCCAATCCTGGCCGCTTGGCAAGAACACTGGGTTGCGGCTGCATCTGGTGTGGAGCAGTCCATGGGAGAAGCATAAGCAAGCTAGATGTCCCTCGCGTAATTGCAGGCTCCAGGGACTGAAGCGGGTGGCCCTGTTATGTAGATCTGGTGGTCTACCACTGAACTCTGCTCCCTTCCTCCTCCTTCCTGCTTTTCAAAGACTGAGAGTTTTGCAAAAAGAGGCAGCTATCTTGTTAAAAGGCGACGCAGTTAGGTCTTGAACCTGTGGCTTCTCTGCATTGAACCGGCCAAGGAAAAGCTTCTCTGTGCACAAAAAAGTAACCAGCATCTTGGTTCCAACAGACCCAAGACTTTGAGGGGCTTGATTAAATAAGTGCAAGTCCTTCTGACTGGGCAAAATGCGGAAGTTTTAATTCAGCTGCCAAGACAGGCCAGGCAGCCTTAGATTTCCCCAAAGAGTCAGCCTGACAAAGAGTTAAGCTGACACTTCTAGGCATGCCGTTAATGATTTTCCCGCCCCTCTGAAATTACTGAATGAGGTCTTTCCAGCGTGAAGAAAGGACTATGAACTGGTGGAGAGAGAGAGAGAAATAATGGCAGGAGCTTAATTAACAAAAAAGGTTTACCTTCTGAAATTCAATGTGAGAGGGGATGGGAGAGATCATTCAGCCTTGTTATTCATTAGGGGGTAGCTTCTATCCCAAGTTTTCCCTGTGCTAAAACCATTAAATTAGATACTACTTTGACGATAGCGTCAAAGGCCGGAGACAAGAAATCGTTCAAAAGAGCAGAAGGCATGGAAGGTGTTCTGGAGATACTGCGGATTTCTCTTACTCCAGTGTAGGAAAAGCATTTCTGTCATGCTGCTATTGGCCTTGTCTGCAAATCACTCTAAAGCCAGATTCACTAACCTGGTGCCCATCAGCCCTGGCCAGCTTGAAGGGACCACTACGGATCTCTAGTACACTTTCACACGAACCCCAGGACCATTTGGAAAATAATGGGGCAGGACGGGTGCCGATAGCCCCTTTGGCATTTCCCAATTTTCAGTACAAACTGTGGAACTGAAACCGGGGGCAGAGCAGCTTGTGTCTTCAACTGTGCAAACTTCAAAAGCAAACAAGGCTAAGAAACAAGCAAACTGATGCCCAGTTCTCCTCCGTAAGCACTTCTGCCTTGTTGGGTTGTTGCAGCTACAGAGGTCAAGTGGGTTGCACATTTAATTCAGAAGGATGGCATCTTGGCTGGTTAAAGAAAAGAAACTAGGAGCTCAAGATGAGGAACATCTAAAGATTGGGCATGTTTAGCCTGGAAAAGAGGAGACTGAGAGGAGATATGATAGCTATTTTCAAATATTTTCAAATATTGTCACATGGAAGATGGAGCAAGCTTGCTTTCTCTTGCTCCCGAGGGTAGGACTCGAACCAGTGGCTTCAAGTGATAAGAAAGGAGATTCTGACTTTCTGATGGCAAGAGCTGTTTGACAGTGGAACGGACCCCCTTGAGCAGATGTTGGATGTTCATCTGTCATGGATGCTTTAGTTGAGATTCCTGCATTTCAGGGGATTGGACTAGATGATCCACAGGCCCCTTCCAACTCTGATTCTATGAATGTGTGTGTGAATGCCAAAAGCTCTCAATGAGAACACTGCCATCCTATATTATGGCTCCTCATTTGATCATCCCATCCCTTCACCTAGGAACCCTGAAGCTTAAAATCGTCAATTCAAACCCCAAGACTTGCCAACTGCATCGATAGCAGACAGGCCCAAAGTGTCTTCTAAGCTTCAAAGACTTCCAGTTGGCTTCTTCTACCAAATACCGCAGGGTTGGTACAACTCAGTTTCTCCCAACCTGGTGGCCGCCAGATGTTCTGGACGACAACTCCCATCAGCCATAACAGCTGTACTCCAAAACATCTGGAGGGCATGAGGTTGGGGGAAGACTGTTAGAGCTACACCTTCATCAAAGTTAAATGGGACTGATTTCTCCATTATTCCATCACTGGACTACAACTCCCAGCAGGCCTGACCATTCTCAATGCCGGCTTTGGCTGATGAGAGTTGTAGTTCAACAAAGCTACCTGGGCCTTAAAAATAACCCCCCTCTAGGCAGAAACAGTAGCCAGCCTTGATCCCAGAAGCGGTCCCTTAGGCCAGAGGTGTCTATCCTTTGAAAATTCAGAGATGGTGGAAAGAGCGTTTATAACCTTACTGAGAACCTAGACAATTTTTCCTGTGGCCTAAATCTGGCGCTTTAGGATATAGCCAAAAAGCACTTCTGGGGATTCCTGATATCGGGCAGCACATACTGGTTCCATTTGCCATGTGATGGCGGAGAGACTGGTTTCAACTCAAGGCCCCACCAGCTGAGGTAAATGCTGAGGTGTTCGTTATGCTGAATTAACATAATATAACACGCCAGGATACACCCAATCCTATTCAAGTACACTTCCCATCCTCTATAGCACGAGTCACCAAGGTCTCCATACCTCCAATGCTGCCTGCAAAAAAAGTCCCAGCAAAATTCCCCTCAGAAATCCACAACGCACGAGAGACCCTGTTCAATCTTTCTGCTCAGATCCGGTTGGCTCCCCCTTCCCCAGCAGCTGTTTTTGCATCATGTCGCACGCTCGTGGCAGCCATCTTGGATGACGCCACATCCCCGCGGCGGCCATTTTGTGACCGGCACCCACGGCATTTTCTCAAAATCCAAAATGTGCCTGCTGGCCCAATACGGTTGGCATCCCCCTGCGCTGCAGAAGTCAACCGATTTTTTAATTATAGTTGGTGAGACCTTCCCGGTATTCTTGTTTTAACGAGCCAAGTTCAGGCATTCTGCATGAGCAGGAAATATCGAACCCCATCTCTGCCCCCAACTTTCCCCTACAGAGCAGGGAAGGATGACTTCTACCCGTGTTTTCCTGAATGTGAGGTTAAGCCTCCTGGCGACTGGGAACTCTGCTTTTGTCTTGATTTACTTCCTTATTATTACATTCAGATCCCACCTTCCCTCTAAAGCAACGGTTCTCAACCTGTGGGTCCCCAGATGTTGTTGGACTACAACTCCCATCATCCCTGACCACTGGTCATGCTGGCTAGGAATGATGGGAGCTGTAGTCCAACCACATCTGGGGACCCACAGGTTGAGAAACGCTGCTCTAAAGAGTTCAGGGCAGCGTGCTCTCTCCCCATTTTATTCTCACAACAACCCTGTGAGGTAGGGTAGGCTGAGGGGCCATGACTGGGCCAAAGTCACCCGGCAAGCTTCACAGCCAAGTGAAGGATCTGAACCTTGGTTTCTCGGGTCCCAATCCAATGCTCTGAGCGCTACACCACAGGAGCATTTCCGACCACATGGAAGATTCTAGCAAACGCGACTCGACATCCCATTTCAGACCTTCTGTGCTCAACAAGGGAACAGCAGGATGGAGCTGAGGCCCAGAAGATATTCACGGCTCTGTGGCTCCTTTATGGTTTGATATTTCCTCCAGGCAGAATAAACGTTCTCGAAATTTATTTCGCACCGCAATAAGCGCTTCCCGTTCAAAGCTTCCCCTCAAAGAAGTATGCCTTACAAAAAAATGTTTGTGATTTTCCCCTGCAGGGGCTCCCAGGCAAGAATTGACGCAGCGAGAGAACGGCCATTTTCAAAACTCCCAACAGGTCTGCTTCCAAAAACGTCTCATTGCCAAAACCCTCCCCCTTCCCCGCCCTCCTCCCCAAACCTTGACAAATGAAGGATATAGCTCCCAAAACTGAAAACGGGGAACCGGGTCCCAAATCAGGGCAACGTTTAAAACGTGAACAGAACCTAACAAAACGACAATCCCGAAACGTCCGTCGTCAAACGACCCCATCGGGTTTTTGTTTTTCCTTTTTTCCTTCGTAAAAAAGCATCTCCTATGAAAATTATAAAAGAAAGCTGGTTCGCAACCACAATCACAACAATAATTTCATCTGTAAAATCCCCACCAGCTCTATTTCCTAACACATGACTGCTACCTGAAAAGGAATCCACAAATAATAATAGCTTTTTAAAAAAGAATTTCGACCAGCTTACGCCTGGGTTCCTATTGCACTTTCTTCTCCCTTTGCTTGAGCAAACACACCCTTTGCTCTCTCCCTCTCCTTCTCTCTCTTTGCTTGAACGGTATTGGGTTCGAATTCAGAAGCAGGAAGTAAGGAAGGAGGGCGCCGACAAACCACCTTACTATTCCACCTGCCCGTGGATGCGGGGCGCCTGACCCACACAGGGGGGTTATGTACAATCCGCAGAGGTTTCCGACGGAAGAATCGCAGCGGCCGTTCCTCGCTTCGTTCTCTTCTTCCAGTGGTGAAAACAAAATGTCCCGTGATTTAAAGTGGTTTTTCGTTTTTAAAAAAGGGATGAGCAGAAGGGGCCCAGCATATACGGGGAGTAGCTCTCCCCTCCTTCCGCCCCATTACCCTGGGCTGTAAACTAATCATTAGAGAGTTTTGTTTTGTTTTCTTCCCCCCCAAAAAACGACGGCTTATTTCTCTGGCATTTTACTGGACCCCCCCTTTCTTGCTGTGGGGGGGCTTGTTACCTCGCTCTCTCTCATCGGGGCTGAAGTCCGCGGCCTCCCAGGGCCCCGCCGGTTTCTTATGGTTCGTCTTGCCTATCTCTTTGCTTTTGGTGGAAGATTCCGGAGGCCTTTCCTTCGGTTTCCGCCCCCTCTTCTTCCCGTCTGTGCTTTTCTTCTTCTCCTCGTGGCTGGCAGAGGTCGGCTCGCTGGTCTTTTTCTTCCGGATGGCCTCCGTGGAAGTCCGGAACCAGTTCTGCGGTCAAGGAAGGAAAGGAGCACAGAGTCGGGAACTCGATTTGGACACGGCGTGGAATAGCAGCGGCCGCAGCTCTGCCGCAACGCCACAACTACCGGCAAACGTGGCGGTTTTCAGAAGTTAAAAAAACAACAGCTAAACGAAGCACCTCATCCCCACTTGGAACCATTCTGAGCTGCAATCGCCTTCTTCAGTTTGGGGGTTTGCCCCAAAATCCTTCCCCCATATTGGGTGAACCAAGGAGACAAAAGGAGATTTAGGAAGGGAGGAAAGCTTACAGGCAGCTCACTTGTTTAACTGCCCAGAGAATCCAGACATGCAGAGAGACAGAGAGCTGCTTTTCAGTATGTTTCTTGGAATCAGAAATACAGTCATACCTTGGGTTACAGACGCTTCAGGTTGCGTTTTTTGGGTTACGGACAGCCGAAATCCGGAAGTACCGGAACGGGTTACTTCCGGGTTTCGGCGGTCACGCATGTGCAGAAGCGCTAAATTGTGCTTTGCACATGCGCAGAAGCACTGAATCGCAACCCGCGTGTGTGCATCCCGCACGGATCACGTTCACAACCCAAGCGTCCACTCTACACAGTGTTATGTACTGAAGTTCTCACCCTGGCCACCAGGGTGTATTGTGTACAGTGGTACCTCTGGATGTGAACGGGATCCACGCGTCTCGCCACTTCCACGCATGACGTCATTTTGAGTGTCTGCGCATGCGCGAGCAGCGAAACCCGGAAGTAACACGCTCTGTTACTTCCGGGTCGCCGCGGAGCGCAGCCCAAAAATGCTTAACCCGAAGCAACTTCAACCCTAGGTATGACTGTATATAGTTTTCACTCAGGTCCACGTAAGTTAATTTAGGCGGGAAACCCTGGGCTGTTGTTGTTACAATGTGGACAGCCGGCTGCCTATAAAAGCAGGCCGGCTGAGCTGTTTGCTGTTCAGTTCAATTCCAGCTTACTTATGAAGAACTACTTGGAGAAATCTCTGTGTCGTCTGCTATGTCCACCCACTACTTAATATACGGAAATCAGGAAATGGGACTGTTCCCCAGAGTGCCCGCTCTTCCCCCTGGGCCACTGAATTTCTCTACATCTCAGACCCCTCCTGCTGCCTACGGTGGCCGACAAGGGAATCTATCCTTTTCTGTTTGGCTTTCCGCCCAGAGACACGAAGAGCATTCTCTCTTTCAAGGTGCATGGTGTCAACCAGCTGCCGTACTGTTTCTATGACATCTGACTCCTGTCCCTGTTCAGGACTAGGGCATCAGCTCCACCTGGTGCGCAGGATGAGACCCTCCCTGCCCGCGGACTGTCTCGCCATAGTGGTGCATGCTCTAGTTATCTATCGCTTGGACTACTGCAGTGCGCTCTACGTGGGTCTACCTTTGAAGGTGACCCGGAAACTACAACTACAACAGAATGCGGCAGCTAGACTGGTGATTGGGAGCGGCCACCGAGACCACATAACACCAGTCTTGAAAGACCTACATTGGCTCCCAGTACGTTTCTGAACACAATTCAAAGTGATGCTGCTGACCTTTAAAGCCCTAAACGGCCTCGGTCCTGTATACTTGAAGGAGTGTCTCCACCCCCATCGTTCTGCCCGGACACTGAGGTCCAGAGCCAAGGGCCTTCTGGCGGTTCCCTCACTGCGAGAAGCCAAGTTACAGGGAACCAGGCAGAGGGCCTTCTCAGTAGTGGCACCCACCCTGTGGAACGCCCTCCCACCAGATGTCGAAGAGAAAAACAACTGCCAGACTTTTAGAAGACATCTGAAGGCAGCCCTGTTTAGGGAAGCTTTTAATGTTTAATAAGACTATTGTATTTTAATATTCTGTTGAAAGCCGCCCAGAGTGGCTGGGGAAACCCAGCCAGATGGGCGGGGTATAAATAATAAAAATTATTATTATAGCTCCTGTTCCTCACCCTCCATGATTCCCCAGCTCTTTTCTTCCTCTTCTGGGAAGTCTCCCGTCTCAAACCACCACGATCCTGGGTCCATACCCTCTCCCTCCTTTCTCTGGAAGGCTCTTGGGGTGACGGTCTCCACCACTCCTAATCATCTGCCCAGTTACCTAGACTGCCTTTGATGCAGGGTATGATGAACGGCCTAAAGTCCCCTCCCCTTCACGAAACCCTCTCCACACACCCCCCCCAAATTAGCTACTAGAAAATAAGACAGCAAATCTGGGGGACTAATTTCAGTCTCCTGGAAGTTTGAAATTTGCTCCTATATTATTAGAAAAGAATAATGATTCATTCCAGCTCACTGGGACCACTCTCCTGTAGGCCTCACGGGGGGGGGGGACTCCCCCCAAAGTCCTTCACCAACAAGGCCCGGTACTTACCTCCGAGTGAGTCTTAATGATATGGTACTTGACTCCGCTTTCTGAGCTAAACTCCTTCTGACACAGAAGACAACGGTACTTCCCCACGGAGTGGTCTCCCTGCAATACAAAGGTCCGGCCGTGTGAGCTCAGCCCCGGAGGATAACTTGGAGATGTGTTGATCATCTACGTAGGACAGATTTGTCCTTGGCACTGTGCCATTCAGGCTCCAGGGAAACTTCAGGTCCCTTCATATATGGAGTGGGATTCAGGTAGGGGTCAGAACCTCCCCTGGGGATCTGGGGAAGGGTTAATGCTCACCGGGACCTCTCAGAACCTATCCTGCACTCATGCATTTGGAAACTTAGCAGAAAGGGTGCATCTGGCTCGCTCAGGTGAGATGGAGGGCAAAAGATGAGGGATTTTTGGCAGAGGAGCTTACAGCCCCCGCCTTACCTAAGGTCCATTCTGAGGTTGTTGTTAGTATCTGTACCGTATTTGCATTGTAAATTTATTTGACAAAGAATAAATGGTGGCAGTTGGTTAGCTTATTTTGTTATCGTCGTTTCTTTGAGAACATGGGAGCGTGGTGGAGGAGTTTGTGAGGACAGGCAAGCTATGGATTAATACTGTATTTTTTGCTCTATAAGACGCACCAGATCACAAGAGGCACCTAGTTTTTGGAGGAGGAAAACAAGAAAAAAATATATTCTGAATCTCAGAAGCCAGAATAACAAGAGGGATCGCTGCGCAGTGAAAGCAGCAATCCCTCTTGCTGTTCTGGCTTCTGGGATAGCCCTGCAGCCTGCATTCGCTCCATAAGATGCACACACATTTCCCCTTACTTTTTAGGAGGGAAAAAGTGAGTCTTATGGAGCAAAAAATACGATAACTTATGCACTGCTATGAAGGACTAAGCCCTCTCTTTGGCTCAAGGGAGAGAAACACATTGCTTTCATTAATATGTAAATTTAATATAACAACAACAACAACAACAACAACAATAAATAATAGTAATAATAATTGAATAATACCTGTTCAACTGTTGCCAACCTGACAAGCAAAGATTTATCTTCAAGTCTTGTGCAAGGCATCTGTTTCATTACAAAAAAGCTAACAGCTGTCTGTTGCTGAAGCAACATCTTCCACTTGCCCCAGCTTGAACCCCTTGCGGAGCTGGCCATCCCCGACGTTGCGCCAGCCTACCCAAGCTGCCACGTGGAGCAGAACAGCAGCTTCATTCGACACTGCAGCCCGCTACGAGGAGCAGAGGCTTCCTCTAATTTATGGCCGAACCTGATCAATAAAGCTTTTGAAATTTCTCTTCTGGGTTGCCGAGCAGCTAATTAAAACCCTGGATTTCTGCCACCGCTGACCTTGCGGAAAACGAATGAGCTCCCTCCTCTGCCTCCATCTGCCACTAGAGAATGCGTAATATATTCTTTATTGACAATGAGGTGATGTACGAGCTCCCAGCGGGAGAGGGGGTGTAGTGAGAGTCGCGGGAGCATGCTTGCAGCTGGATCTGTGGCATTAATGCGAAGCTGGCAAGCATCGGACATCGAGCATAGGTGCATCTTCACACAACTGGGAGCATCTGAATGAACCAGCCAGCTGTTTTCTGATCCGTCAGAAAATTAACGAGGGGCTTGAATTTGGCAGAGGGTGCTGAAAGCTGAGGATGGGGAGTGAGAGTTGGGAAAAGGATTTCCGCCTATGGGAAAGGTTCTCAACATTGCCATTATATGACCTCTTCGCGGGTTTTGGATACCACTGGCTATGGCATCCTCCAGAGCTGCCTCTGAAGAAGGTTCGGAAACTTCAGCTGTTGCAGAATTCAGTGGCCAGGTTGCTCAGTGGAGCTAGACAGTTTGAGCACATTATACTGATCCTGGCCCAACTGCACTGGCTGCCAATTAGTTTCTAGGCCCAATTCAAAGTGCTGAATTTGACCTATAAAGCCTTAAACATCTCAGGACCTCAATACCTCAAGGACCGCCTCTGTCCATATGAACCGACCCAGACCCTGAGATCACCATCTGAGGCCCTTTGTCGTGTGCCTCCTCCATGGGAAATCCGTAGGGTGGCAACACGAGAACAGGGCCTTTTGTGCAGTGGCTCCCCGTTTGAGGAATGCTCTCCCCAGGAAGGCTTGCCTGGTGCCTTCACTGTACATCTTTAGGCGCCAGGCAAAAATCTTCCTCTTCAACCAGGTCTTTGCATGATTAACATTATGTGTCCTTTTTATATGTGTTTATGGGAGCGGGGTGGTTATTGTTTTGTGTTTGCTTTCATTGTGTATTTTGTGTTTTTATTTTGTATTTTGATGCTGTGAACCGCCCTGAGATCTTCCTGATGAAGGGCGGCATAGAAGCTTAATAAATAATAATAGTGACGTTAGGCTATAAGCCTCTTAAACGCCTTACCTTGTTGCAGTTTGCAAGGTGGGCTTTCAAACCGGACACACTGGAATAGATGGCAGCGCAGCACTGGAAGTGAAAACAGCGCAGAACATAGTAAGTAGGGTTTTGTACTCCCCCCCTTCCTTTCCCCCTTTTATGGGGTTGCAGCGACCCGCCCCCCTCCAAATCCCCACAAGGCTCTCCTTCTTTGCAAGCTCCCTCTCGCCGTCACAAGGTTAATTTTACAGGCGATCTGCCTGTTGGGATCTTGCCACAAGCTTCTAATTACTGCTAATGGGAGTCATGTGGCTCCGTCGCTGGCAGGCAAAACACGTCCCTAAATGGACCTTTGAACATTCAAGGCGCTTTCAAGCAGTTACGGAGGCCTGCTGGGCGACGGGAGATCTTACAGCACCGCCGGTCGCGAGTCTGATGTGGAAAGGGAAACTGGGCTAATCGCCTGGGCAGAGACGCTATCTGTTTCAGAGCTGCACACCTTTTCAAAGTGGCCGTGCTAACCAGCTAATGCCTCTTACCTGTTCTGCGAACAACGTCCCTCCCATAACCCTGTTAACAAGCCTTTCCTGGAGATCAGGGAGAGGCAACGTTTTCGACTCAGGGACTGGGCACCCTGGCCATGAAACGTTAAGAACAGAAGAACTGTTCCAATCTGCAGCATGTCCATAGGTAAAGGTAAAGGGACCCCTGACCATTAGGTCCGGTCGTGGCCGACTCTGGGGTTGCGGCGCTCATCTCGCTTTATTGGCCAAGGGAGCCGGTGTACAGCATGACTAAGCCGCTTCTGGCGAACCAGCGCAGCGCACGGAAACGGCGTTTACCTTCCCACCAGAGCGGTACCTATTTATCTACTTGCACTTTGACATGCTTTGAAACTGCTAGGTTGGCAGGAGCTGGGACCGAGCAACGGGAGCTCACCCCATCGCGGGGATTCAAACTGCTGACCTTCGGATCGGCAAGTCCTAGGCTCTGTGGTTTAACCCACAGCGCCACCCGCGTCCCGCAGCATGTCCATGACACAGAATAAAACATAAATAAAACAGAATAAAACGCTCTGTCGCAAGAGACAAGGGCCCTGCAGGACTTGACATCTTTTCGCAGGGCCTGTAAGACAGAGCTGTTCCACCAGGCCTTTGGTCAGGGCGCAGCCTGACTCCCTCCTTTGGCAATCTTTACAAAACTTTAGTTTATGGTTGCCATCAATTTGTATTTTAATTAATTTTTATAATGTTTTTATAATGTTGCACTGTTTTAGTGTTGTTAGCCGCCCTGAGCCCGGCTTCGGCTGGGGAGGGCGGGATATAAATAAAATTTATTATTATTATAACATCCCTTTCATTTTCCAATCAGCCCTGCAGAAAACAAGGCACTCACGTTATTAGGGCAGTTGATGTGTCCTTTTTCCTTCACTTCGTTTTTCCAGGTTTCCAGAAGCCTCGGGTTCAGCTTTGGAAGCCCAGGACGGGTGTAGTTTAGCTGCCAGGCAAGAAGCAGTGGTTAATCAACTTCGGCATCTAAAACACAGCTCTACAAAAAACTGCATTATTATTCTTTTAATCTGCTTATTATCTCAACAAGTTTCCCCCCAAAAACCGATTCTGTTATTTTCATTTTCCCAAGTTTAAAAAGATTGGCTGGAGTGTGTGTGTGTATGTATGTTTCACCAAAATGAACAAATCTTTAACTGGATGAAATCAACAAGAGATGAAATCAAGAAGAATGTATTTTGTCACAGGCAGTGTGACAAAGGAGAGCTCAACCAGTGGCAGAGAAAGAAAACACTGAGGACCATGCACATATGCGCATCTAGTAGACTAATAATAATAATAATAATAATAATAATAATAATGTATTATTTATATCCCGCCCATCTGGCTGAGTTTCCCCAGCCACTCTGGGCGGCTTCCAACCAAATATTAAAAACACAACACAGCATCAAACATTAAAAACTTCCCTAAACAGGGCCGCCTTCAGATGTCTTTTAAAGGTAAGATAGTTGCTTATTGCCTTGACATCTGCTCGGAGGCGTTCCACAGGGCAGGCGCCACTACCGAGAAGGCCCTGTAACCTCACTTCTCGCAGGGAGGGAACCGCCAGAGGGCCCTCAGCGCTGGACCTCAAGTGTCCGGGCAGAACGATGGGGGTGGAGACGCTCCTTCAGGTATACAGGACCGAGGCCGTTTAGGACTTTAAAGGTCAGCACCAACACTTTGAATTGTGCTCGGAAACGTACTCGGAGCCAATGCAGATCTCTCAGGACCGGTGTTATGTGGTTCCAGCGGCCACTCCCAGTCACCAGTCTAGCTGCCGCATTCTGGATTAATTGCAGTTTCCGGGTCACCTTCAAAGGTAGCCCCACGTAGGGCGCATTGCAGTAGTCCAAGTGGGAGATAACAAGAGCATGCTAACTCAGTACAACACTAGTAGCTGGTGGAGAGGCCTGCTAGCCCTGAAGCACTGAAAGCAACAACAGAATAGTACTGAAGCTGTGAGCCCTGCTATCCACAGAGCTGCACCTGGTCCTGCAAAAACGATTCCCTAAGCTTGGCTTCTCTGGTCAGGCCCAGGGAGAGTGCCTGTCTGATTTCCAATCTGTTTCCAAACCAGCCAACTGAAGAACCCCCAAGCCACACACCCCAACACATGCCCCAGACCAAGACTACAGACCCTGTTTTCCCTGCACCCCGCCTTCAGCAAAAGTCAGGTAAGTGACGGGCTCTCACTCGCTTTGTCTCGGGGACCAAGTCGTCCTTCATCCTCCGTTTGGTCCAGTCCTTGGCTAGCTCATCCTCGGCGATTTCCTGCAAGTGGAAGACGGCGACCTGGGCTGACGTGCGCCGGATCCTGCCGCTCGGAGTCCTCTCGAAATCTTCGACGAGGCTGACTTCAGGCTTGATCTCGGGCTGTTCAGGAGGCTGAGAAGACGGGGGGAAAGGGGGTGAAGGTGGAAAGGGGTACCCAAAGAACAACAACCAGTGTCAGCCCCATCTTCTGCATCAGCATGAGAAAGCCTGGATACCAAATGTCAAGGGCTGTCACCAGGATCCACAAGCCAGAGAGTGAGTTTTTAAGCTCCCCGCCAGGTTTGGGTTTACCGTATTTTTCGCCCCATAGGGCGCACCAGCCCATAGGGCGCACCTAGTTTTTTTGGGGGGAAATAAAGAAAAAAAAATTTATTCCCCCCCAGGCGCGGGGCTGGGGCGGGGGAAGCCCGAGTTTCCCCTGACCCCAGCCCCCAGAACAGGCTGCTATCCGCAAGCCTAGGGAGCCCGACGGGAAGTCGCGCCAGGCTCCCTAGCGTTGCGGAGAGCTGCGCGAAGCCTGCATTCACCCTATAGGACGCACACACATTTCCCCTTCATTTTTGGAGGGGGAAAAGTGCGTCCTATAGGGCGAAAAATACGGTAACTTGCGTACTTTCAACCAACCTGCCTTCAGCTGCGTACACTCAAAATCATGCATGTTAAATGTGTGTGAGATGTTGCTGCACTGTATTTAAAATAATTACAACGCTGCCTTCTATTAAAAAAAAAAAATCAAGGTGGTTCAGAGTCACCCAAAACAAAAAAAATCATTAAAATAAGGAGTATTGAAATTCAGCAAGCTGAGACAATTGCTGAGAGGAGAAATAGGTTTTGCACAAACACCACCAGCGGATCACTGTTGCCTTGCCAAACTAGCAAAGACATTGACAAAAGAAAATGATAAATGTTGGAAATGCAGTGAAGTAGAAGCAACCTTTTTCCACATGTGGTGGTCCTGTAAAGTAATTGGGGAATTCTGGGAAGTAATTTGCAATGATTTTGAAAATATATTCATAAAAACCTTCCCTCAAAAGCCCGAGACATTCCTTTTGGGAATGGTTAAAAAAAGATATATATTATTATTATATGCCACCAACGCAGACAGAATTTTACTGGCACAAAGGTGGAGAACGAGTATGGTACCCACCAGAGAAGAGTGGAAGTTTGAAAATGCTTGAATGTGCTGAACTGGCAGCAGGAATAGGGTAAGAGAAAAGTATGATAAAGGATATAAGGAGGACTGGAAAATGTTTATTGAATATTTTAAAGAACCAGTATAAACAAGTAAATAACCTAGCTTGTCTTGAGTAAACCCGGCAGAATAGGCGCTAACAGAAATTAGCAGAGGAAGAAATTTGTAGAGTAAAAATTTGGAATACGCAATTTATAGAATAGTACAGACACCAGGAAAAGGGTGGATGGGAAGTCACTGGGTATTTAATTGTATGTCGAGATTGGTATGAAAGTTGTACAATTGGGGGGGGGTGGAGGAAAGGGGGTGTGTGTGGTTTTTTTTGCTTGTTTTGTATTAAAAATGCAAATAAAAATGATTTTTCTAAAAAAATAAATAAATCAAAGACGAGGAAACACTTTGCAAAAATGTAATGTCTTGCAGCATAATGATACTCAACAGCATGACAACAGAATGGAGGGAAGAGGCTCATAGGGCCTTACCGCGGACGGATGCTCTGACCGCACGTGGTAGTCGTGTCCTGCTTTCGACTTGTACGTCTTCCCGCACTGCAGGCAGGTGAAGACGGGCTTCTCCACCTCGGACAGCTGCTTCCCGCACCGCTTCTGGTGGTACTGGTACCCCATAAGGCTGGAGAAAGTAGCCACGCACCCCTGCAGGAAGAGGAAGAGGAGAAACACGGTGGGAATGCCAGAAACTTAAAAGGTAAAGGGACCCCTGGCCATTAGGTCCAGTCGCGGACTCTGGGGTTGCGGCGCTCATCTCGCTTTATTGGCCGAGGGAGCCGGGATACAGCTTCCGGGTCATGTGGCCAGCAGGACTAAGCCGCTTCTGGCGAAGCAGCGCACGGAAACGCCGTTTACCTTTCTGCTGGAGTGGTATCTATTTATCTACTTGCACTTTGATGTGCTTTCGAACTGCTAGGTGGGCAGGAGCAGGGACCGAGCAATGGGAGCTCACCCCGTCACAGGGATTCGAACCGCTGACCTTCTGATCGGCAAGTCCTAGGCTCTGTGGTTTAACCCACACAGCCACCCGCGTCCCTTTGCGTCAACTTAGGGAGCTAGAAAAGAGGGTGTCTGCTGGAGCTGCTTTTTGATCATGAGTCCTGCTCTTGCTAGGAAGCCACAAAGGTGTTCTGTAATCTCCCAGCTTGCAAACATTGTGGCATCAGTGAAAGCCACTCATGGCTAGGGGGAAACCTTCATCGACAAACAGCAGTATCATACTACTTTAAACTGGCACCATTTCCCCCAAAGTATCCTGGGAACTGGGGTTTTTTTTGGGGGGGACACCCTATTTCCCTGCCCCCAAGAACGACAATTTCCAGGGTATTTCAACCATCAATCTGTCTTTCCAGGGAACATCCATGACCCTTAACAAACTACAGTTCCCAGAATTTGTTGGGGGAAAGCCATGACTTTTTAAAGGGGAGTGATATTGCTTTAAACGTAAAGTGAAGTTGCGGGCCATAGATTTATCTCTGTTAACTCAGCACATCCATGCTGCCTTGCACCCCACAGCAAAACAGAGAGCTTAACAGCTCTCCGCCTTGCTTACTGGGCTCTGGAATGCTCTCGTGAGATCCCAAGATCTTGCACAAGCATCCCAGAGCCCAGTAAGCAAGGCGGTGGGTTCAAAAGCTCTTTCTGCGCCGGGAGAACCACGAACAAAGAGAGCTTTTGAGCTCTCTGCCTTCTGGGTGTTAAATTTGTGCGATTTCAACCAGCTGGCCTTCAACCACCTAACGTCAAACGCGCCTGACAAACATGCGTAAGATGTGGTCGTACTGAAAAACTCACTGGCTTCCCCAACTCTTTCTCTGCTGGAAATATTAGCCAAGAGCGAAAAGAAGTACCTCAACGGGGCATTTTAGTTTCCCCATCTGCTTTAGTACTTTCCTCAGCCTCTCCCGCTCTTCGTGCTCGCTGAGAGGGGCAGCGGCTTCCACAGGAACTGGCTGCAGGGAAGGAATCGAGAAAACCCGCAATGGTAATCTAGCCTTTCGTACACGCCGTGTTCCCTTGTCCGTCTCACACCTCAGAAAGAGGCATTTTATAAAAGGAACAGCACCCTGGCACCATTATCCAAGACTATGCATCTATTGCAGAGTGATGCCAGTGCAGAAAAGTGAGAATCTCTTATTTCTTTTCTTTCTTTCTTTCTTTCTTTCTTTCTTTCTTTCTTTCTTCTTTCTTTCTTTCTTTCTTTCTTTCTTTCTTTCTTTCTTTCTACAGCCCTCGTGGTTGCAAAGGCGTGTTCCTAGTGAGATTTCAGGTGCCAGAGGGTTGTGGAACATGATGAATAGTCATGGGGTGTGGAGGCACCAGTGCCCAGCACAGCTCCTTGCCCCCTTTCCCTGCCCCCACCCTGACTATTAGAAGGGCAATAAATAGCACAAATTCCAAAAACACGGGTTGGAAGACAAGGGAAATTATGCAAACTTGTGAAAAGCACACAAGTTGTGGAATCCGTCTTGTTTGAGGGCAGTATGTCTCCACGGTGCAGAATATTCATTTACTTGTTTTGCATGCAAGCAGAGTTTCCTACCTTGTTGACGTGCTCGGCCATGGTGTGGTAATTCAACCCGGCTTTGGACTTGAATTGCTTCTTGCAGTGCTGGCATTTCAAGGCATCCTGCAGCTGAAGCAAGCGGAACGAAAAGTCAACACACCAAAAACTGGTTTTCAGAAGCACTGCTGCCTCTGGCCCAGTGGAGACAGAGTACAGCCATCACAAGCAATAGCCGCTGATAGCCTTACCCTCCAAAATAATAATAATAATAATAATAATAATAATAATAGTATTGGTAGCAGGGCTTGTTAAAAATGTGTATTTTACCACCAGGCCCTTACTGGCAATAAAATAATAAAATATACAGGCAACTCTCCATTTGCATACGTTCAATATTTGTGTAACTGCACACACACACATGCATCACTGTGAACCTAGAAGTGACTAGGAAAAGAGCAAAAATGGCCCTAAAAGAGTGCAGAAAGGGAAAACACAGCACGAAACAGCACCTAGCAATCCCACAAGCCTTTGCAAGTGAAATCCCAGGAGCCCTTGCACCGACTTTCCGAGGCCTGTGAAGAGTTGGGAGTTTGAGCAAGGAGGTTTGGATGGAGGGATTGGGGAGTTTGCAGGCTTTTGTCAATGGTGTTCCCAATTTATGCGATTTCACTTACGTGCACGGTGCCTCAGACCGTAACCTCCGTGTAAATGGGGAGTTGCCTGTATCTATATCCATATAGATGCAGCAGGCAGGTGTGGAGGACTCCCTGGTCCTGAATGGGGTAACTGTGCCCCTGAAGGACCAGGGGCGCAGCCTGGGAGTCATTTTGGACTCACAGCTGTCCATGGAGGCACAGGTCAATTCTGTGTCCAGGGCAGCTGTTTATCAGCTCCATCTGGTACGCAGGGTGAGACCCTACCTGCCTGCGGACTGTCTCACCAAGAGTCGTGCATGCTCTAGTTATCTCCCACTTGGACTACTGCAATGCGCTCTACGTGGGGCTACCTTTGAAGGTAACCCAGAAACTAATCCAGAATGCGGCAGCTGGACTGGTGACTGAGAGCAGCCGCCGAGACCACATAACACCTGTCTTGAAAGACCTACATTGGCTCCCAGTACGTTTCCGAACACAATTCAAAGTGTTGGTGCTGACCTTTAAAGCCCTAAGCAGCCTCGGTCCAGTATACCTGAAGGAGTGTCTCCACCCTCATCGTTCAGCCCAGACACTGAGGTCCAGCTCTGAGGGCCTTCTGGCGGTTCCCTCACTGTGAGAAGCCAAGTTACAGGGAATCAGGCAGAGGGTCTTCTCAGTAGCGGCACCCGCCCTGTGGAACGCCCTCCCATCAGATGTCAAGGAAATAAACAACTATCTGACTTTTAGAAGACATCTGAAGGCAGCCGTGTTTAGGGAAGTTTTTAATGACTGATGTTTTAATGTATTTTTAATCTTTTGTTGGAAGCTGTCCAGAGTGGCTGGGGAAACCCAGCCAAATACTAGAACAATTTGTTGACATGCTATTCAGTGGTTTGTCCCCGTCCAATTTTGGCTTCCTACCTTTTGGCAGACTTCCATGTGCTTCTTGAGGCCAAGGATCGTCTTCCGGGTGATCATGCTGCAGGTCGGACAAGCCACCTCCCCTCTCTCATTGATCGCCCGCTGCCACTGCTCTTCTGGGCTCGCTGGAGAAAGAGGAAAGACAGAGCGGAAGTTTGTCTGTGGCTAAATCCTGGGTGACGCTGGGACGCGGGTGGCGCTGTGGGTAAAAGCCTCAGCGCCTAGGACTTGTTGATCGAAAGGTCAGCGGTTCGAATCCCCGCAGCGGGGTGCGCTCCCGTCGCTCGGTCCCAGCGCCTGCCAACCTAGCAGTTCGAAAGCACCCCCGGGTGCAAGTAGATAAATTGGGACCGCTTACTAGCGGGAAGGTAAACGGCGTTCCGTGTGCTGTGCTGGCTCGCCAGATGCAGCTTATCACGCTGGCCACGTGACCCGGAAGTGTCTCCGGACAGCGCTGGTCCCCGGCCTCTTAAGTGAGATGGGCGCACAACCCTAGAGTCGGTCAAGACTGGCCCGTACGGGCAGGGGTACCTTTACCTTTACCTTTAAATCCTGGGTGTCCTATAGACTTCCGCTATTTGGTGGGCTGCTGTTCGATCTCATGCACTGGAAACTCAATTTCGTCTGGTCCAACTAATTCACATTTTTCCTTTTTTGTGCCAATTAATTTTTATCCGTTTTCCAAATTTATAACACGTCAATGCCAAGTTAAAACTAATTTAACACAATTCCCCCAAAAAACTGGCTTCCCACTCTCTTTCTCAGAAATTTCCACTTCTTCCCCATTACATGATGCTTATATTACAAACTTATCTCTAATTAGCATCCATCTTTCTAAACAAATATCCTTATCCCTCAGCGGTCCCTTTACCAACTCCTGCATATAGATAAAGGAATATATATATATATGAATAACAGATCAAGTAACAACAAGTGAGGTTTTACTAAGTTAAGTCTTTCGCACCTCTTTTCAACGTGCCTCTTTTTCTTTTTAAGGGCTGCTTGCGGTTCGGGAGGTCATGAGGAAATGCACTAAAAAGCGTGGGATCGTGATTTTGCCGCTTCCCCGCAGAACTCATCTACAACAAGAATCCCTGAGCTCCGCTGACACCGTCATTGCACAGGAAAGGAAAACGGAGCGTGGCTTCGGCAACAGTTCCATTCCGAAGCACAGCGACCTCTGAGCAAACATAGGGTCTGTCTACGAGCTCCGGGACTCCTTGCAGTGTTTATCTAAATGCCCCCCCCCCAATGAGGGAGCACAGCCAAAAAGAGGCCGAGCAGAGCCACAGTCTCAAGCAGCCATAGGCTTGGCTTCGCTCCAACTGTCGAGCAGCAGGCTAGGCCTGCTGAGTTGTTTACTCGGCGATCAGACTCAAAAGCTGGGAACGTGGATCAGCTGGAAGAGGCTGCAGCTGTGCTTTGCTCAGAACATGCTGTCTTCCTTGAGCCAGGAAGAGATTCCCCAGAGAAGCAAGGTTTTTCCAGTGGCTCCAGATACCTACTTGCCCGGGGCTTAAGAGCCAAAAGGAGTGGTTTGAGGGACACTTAAGACAGCCCAAATTAACCCACAAAGTGCACTTTCAAAAGGTAACACTGGAAAGTATACTAGTAAGAACTACAACAGCAACGATATATTCATATTCTGCTCACCTCGCTGGGTTGCACCATAACAACAACAACATTTTATGATTTATACCCTACCCATCTGGCTGGGTTTCCCCAGCCACTCTGGGCGGCTTCCAGCACATACAAAAACGTAATAGAACGTCAAACATTAATAGTAGGAATCCAATACAAAAAGTCACAATAACTTTAAAACAAACAACTTATGTAAAACAAAGCAACATTCAGCAATCCATCAGAATCTAATAGTAAACAGTAACATTAAACATCAGCAAATAATAACTGAACACTTATCAGCCACAATAATGAATTATCAATCTATAATCAATAAAAATAACAGCAAACCACAATGCATAAAATACCACAAAACATACAAAGCCATGTAACAGGATCAAACTGAGAAACAAAGGACACACGACTTAAATAACTATTTTTTTAAAAATAGCCCTCAAGTTTTGATACCAAAAATGCACGCCTCTCGTGCAGCAAACAAACCATGTCTGTTCAAACAACCGGGTTTCCCCGCAATGGCTTGAAAGATAGGGACAAAATAAACTGCCTTCAGCCTAGTGAAACCATTGGTCCATCTAGATTAGTATTGTTTGCACTGGCAGGCAGCGGCTCCCCCAGTGGCAGCCAGGGGCTGAACACTGGACCTCCTGCATGCAAACAGACGCTCCGTCCCCAAGTCATGTTGGAGCAAGTTCCACAAGCCACACAAGAAGAAGAATAAGAAGAGTTTGGATTTGATATCCCGCTTTATCACTACCTGAGGAGTCTCAAAGCGGCTAACAATCTCCTTTTCCCTTCCTCCCCCACAACAAACACTCTGTGAGGTGAGTGGGGCTGAGAGACTTCAGAGAAGTGTGACGGGCCCAAGGTCACCCAGCAGCTGCATGTGGAGGAGCAGGGAAGCGAACCCGGTTCACCAGATTACGAGTCTGCTGCTCTCAAACCACACCACAGCCTTCCTTGGCCACACTGCTCACCAATCCTGCACCCTCCTCTGGCATTCCTGCCTGTCTCAACTGCATCCTTGAACCCTGGCCGTGACTCTGGCTTGCCTGGACAGGGGATGGCAAGGGATGTGCGAGTGTGTGTTGAGAAACTAGCCTACTGTCCAAAGCGAACGTTTGCAATTGCAGCTCTGCCCACGTTGCCTCTGGCCCCTAGAAGGGAATGTGGCCCTCGGAATGGAAAGGGTTCTGTGAAAAGGGTCAAACCGCCCACCTGTTGCAGAAGGAGCTGCTGCTGTTGGGACAGCATCCTTTCTCACACCGGACCCTGGCGTTTTCTTCTTCAGGTCTTCATTGCCGGCGCCGCTCAGAGACGCCTCCAGTTTCTTTGCCCGGTGTGCTTTCGCCTTGTCCTCTGCTTTCGCCAGCCCTGGAGAAGAGGAAAGATTTTGCTTTTGAAAGAGGTTAGAACAGGCTGGATGGTTCCTTCCTGAAAAGCGGGCCTAGTGCTGTTCATATGGCAGATAATAATAATAATAATATAATTTATTATTTATACCCCGCCTATCTGGCTGGGTTTCCCCAGTCACTCTGGGCAGTTTCCAACAAAATATTAAAATACCGTAATGCATCAAACATTAAAAGCTTCCCTAAACAGGGCTGCCTTCAGATGTCTTGTAAAAGTCTGGTAGTTGTTGTTCTCTTTGACATCTGGTGGGAGGGTGCTCCACAGGGCGGGTGCCACCACTGAGAAGGCCCTCTGCCTGGTTCCCTCTAACTTGGCTTCTCGCAGTGAGGGAACCACCAGAAGGCCCTCATTGCTGGACCTCTGTGTCTGGGTAGAACAATGGGGGTGGAGACGCTCCTTCAAATATACTGGACCGAGGCCGTTTAGGGCTTTCAAGGTCAGCACCAACACTTTGAATTGTGCTCGGAAACATACTGGGCCAATGTAGGTCTTTCAAGACCGGTGTTATGTGGTCCCGGCGGCCACTCCCAGTCACCAGTCTAGCTGCCGCATTCTGGATTAGTTGTAGTTTCCAGGTCACCTTCAAAGGTAGCCCCACATAGAGTGCATTGCAGTAGTCCAAGCGGGAGATAACTAGAGCGTGCACCACTCTTGTGAGGCAGTCTGCGGGCAGGTAGGGTCTCAGCCTGTGTACCTGATGGAGCTGGTAAACAGCTGCCCTGGACACAGAATTGACCTGCGCCTCCATGGACAGCTCCATGGATACGCTACAACAGGCAGGTACAACCAAACCCATGTTCAAAACGGTACATAAAGAAGGGTCTCAGATGATGATCGCAGAGTCTGAGCAGGTTCATATGAGGAGAAGCGGTCCTTGAGATCCTGAGCAGTTTTAAGGATTTATAGGTCAAATCCAGCACTTTGAACTGGGCCTAGAAACCAATTGGCTGCCAGTGCAGTTGGACCAGGATCTGTGTAATATGTTGAAACTGTCTTGCCAGTGAATTCTGCACCAGCTGGACTTTCCAAACAGCCTTCAGAGGCAGCCCCACATATAACACATTGCAGTAATCTAACCCAGAGGTTACCTAATCTAGACTTTTCCCTGACGGTTATATTCTACATTTTGTTTGAGCTTTCACATGGGGTAAAAAGCCCCTTCTGGAACAACAATGGAACGTAGGTGCAAGCTTAGCGCTCACTTCTGGGGAGGGAATCCACTTGCAAATAATGTGGAAGTGAGTGCCAAACTTGCACCGTATCACGCTACGGTTCCAGAAGCGCCTTTTACGTCCAAATATAACGTGAAAATCAACAAGTAGGGAAACGGCGTGAAAATGGAATAAACTGCCGTGCGGAGGTAGCCAAAGTCACGCGGACTAGTAGCCGTGGATAGTTCTTAACCTCTGTGAAGTTGTATAATCCCCTAGTGAAGCCATTGTCACATTTTGTGTTGGCGGGTTCCACAGGTTGAAAAAAATAAATAAATTATTGATCAATTTCCACATAACAAATTATCAACTCACATACATTATTCCCCCCCTACCAAAGACTTTCCTCAACTTCTCTCCCTGATTTCTCTTCACATATTTCCTCTGCATATTATAAAATTGCACATATCCATAGTTCCATAGTTTAATTACAGTGGTGCCCCGCAAGACGAATGCCTCGCAAGACGGAAAACCCGCTAGACGAAAGGGTTTTCCGCTTTTGAGTTGCTTCGCAAGACGAATTTCCCTATGGGCTTGCTTCGCAAGACGAAAATGTCTTGCTACTCTTGCGGGTTTTTTTTCACTCCCCCCCCCCTTTTTTCTAAGCCGCTAATAGCCTTTTAGCAGCTAAGCCTTTAATAGCCGCTAAGCCGCTAATAGCGCTAATTCGCTAAGCCGCTAATAGGGTTGCTTCGCAAGACGAAAAAAACCGCTAGACGAAGAGAATCGCGGAACGGATTCTTTTCGTCTTGCGAGGCACCACTGTATGTGCTGCATGAGCCCAAGGTCTCCCTGTCATAACTGCAGCAATGGTGCACAAACTTCTCGCAAAGATATTTTGCCCGCCACGGCTGATGTTCTCCTGAAATGCGTATTTCGGGATGTGCTCTCGCTTTGTGCCAGGTAACAGCAAGGCCCAGCAGCTGAAAGTGGTGGTGTGTGCCCTGCTTAAACCAAAGGCAACAGCCTAGAATATTTCCCAGAATCCTCTGCAACACACAAAGGGCTCTCCGTGAAACTGAGGCAGGAGGTGCTGCCCGGCAACAGAAAGTTCAAAATACTCTACAAAATACTTCCCAAGAACAGGAACGCATCTGACTCGTCATTTACCTTTCAGTCCAAATGTTCCGGAGATGGACGGCTGCTCTCCAGTAAATTTCTTAGGAGTTTTCTGTTTCCTTCCTAACTCAAAAAGGAGAAAACAGAAATAAAAACTTGGTCAAACACCTGCACGCTAAGCTGAGAGTGCAACACCCCTGTCTACACAGAGCAACTCAGCATTTCAGTGAATCCCCCTTTTTTTGGCCTAATTTATTCTGCTGCTTTGCTCCCCAGGGAATAAGCACAGGGCTGAAATCTTATTCCAGGCCACAGAAAAGAAAGCCCTGCTTGGCTCCCCCCCGGTTTCTCACTGCCCATGGGCTTTCAAGCTTATCTCCCACAGTCATAAGGACTAGATACACACTTTTCCAAACAACAACGGGGACAGCCATGGAAAACAAGTCCTATGAGGAAAGAATGAAGGAATTGGGCATGTTTAACTTGGAGAACAGAAGACCGAGATGAAGATTCAATAGCACTCTTTAAATGCATGGGGGGGGGGCTGTCACACGGAAAAGAGGTGTTTTCTGCTTTCGCAGAGGGCAGAACTTCATCTACCCGACACGTTACAGGTAATAATAATAATAATAATAATTTATACCCCACCCTCCAACCAAGACCGGGCTCAGGGCGGCTAACGCCAAATATAAAAACAATTGGTTGAAATACAGCTTGAAAAACAAGATTAAAATACAACATTAAAACATTAAAATGCAGCTTCATTTCAGTAGAAACTCAAATCAAAAACTTTTTGGGGGTGAAAACGTCAAGTCTTCACCAAGGCCAACTATCCAGACTGGTCCTACGTGGGCCAGAAAAAAGCCAGGGAAGTCCCCAAATCGGAGTTCCATCACAGGAGGAGAAAGGAAAAAGGAAAGAGGGGGAGGGGATCAAGTAGATTCCAAGCCAAAGGCCAGGCAGAACAACTCTGTCTTACAGGCCCTGCGAAAAGAAATCAGATCCCGCAGGGCCCTGGTCTCATGAGACAGAGCGTTCCAAGAGGCCGGAGCCAGTGCTGAAAAGGCCCTGGCTCTGGTTGAAGCTAATCTGACTTCCTTAGGGCCCGGGACCTCTAGGGGGTTGCTATTTATGGACCTTAAGGTCCTCCGTGGGGCATACCGGGAGAGGCGGTCCCGTAAGTATGAGGTACGAGGGTCCTAGGCCGTGAAGGAGCATGCTTGCTTTCTCCTGCTCTGGAGAGGAGGACTTGAACCAATGGCTTCAAGTTACAAGTACAGTGGTACCTCTACTTACAAATGCAATCCGTTCCGGGGTGCCGTTTGCACCCCGAAAAGTAGAGCACCACTCCTGCGCTTGATGCAACAGAGCGCTCCTGCGCATGCGCGAAGCGCCGAACCCGGAAGTAAACACTTCCAGGTTTGCCGCGTTCATAACCTGAAAAAACGCAATGTGAAACAAACGCAATTCGAGGTATGACTATAAGGAGAATCCAACTAACATACTGTTAGTACTGTTTTTGGGGGACAGGAGGTAGGCAGGTGTGGAGACTCCCTGGTCCTGAATGGGGTAACTGTGCCCCTGAAGGACCAGGTGCACAGCCTGGGAGTCATTTTCGACTCACAGCTGTCCATGGAGGTGCAGGTCAATTCTGTGTCCAGGGCAGCTGTTTATCAGCTCCATCTGGTACACTACCTGTCCGCAGACTGTCTCGCTAGAATGGTGCATGCTCTAGTTCTCTCTCGCTTGGACTACTGCAATGCGCTCTACGTGGGGCTACCTTTGGAGGTGAACCAGAAACTACAACAAATCCAGAATGCCGCAGCTAGACTGGTGACTGGGGGCGGCCGCCGAGACCACATAACACCAGTCTTGAAAGACCTACACTGGCTCCCAGTACGTTTCCGAGCACAATTCAAAGTGTTGGTGCTGACCTTTAAAGCCCTAAACGGCCTCGGCCCAGTATACCTGAAGGAGCTTCTCCACCCCCATCATTCTGCCCGGATGCTGAGGTCCAGCACTGAGGGCCTTCTGGTGGTTCTCTCACTGCGAGAAGCCAAGTTACAGGGAACCAGGCAGAGGGCCTTCTCGGTAGTGATGCCCGCCCTGTGGAACGCCATCCCATCAGATGTCAAAGAGAAAAACTACCTGACATTCAGAAGACATCTTAAGGCAGCCCTGTTCGGGGAAGTTTTTAATGTGTGATATTTTAGTGTATTTTTGGTTTCTATGGAAGCCGCCCAGAGTGGCTGGGGAAACCCAGCCAGATGTGCGGGGTACAAATAATACTACATTATTATTATTATTATTATTATTATTATTATTATTATTATTATATCAGGAAGAACATTCTGACAGTAAGAGCTGTTCAGCCGTGGAACAGACTCCCTCTTCCTTGGAGGATTTTAAGCAGAGGTTGATGGAAGCAGAGGCCATCTGCCATGGATGCTTTAGTGGAGATTCCTGCATTGCAGGGGTTGGAATAGATGACTCTCGGGGTCCCTTTCCAGCTCTAAGATTCTACATGATTTCACAAACTTCTACCGTAGCGCATGCTTCAAATCTTAAACTGGGCAAGGGAAACCGGGACTTGGGGTGGACGGGAGTCGCTGTTCTAGTCTTACTGTGCTTCATCCTCTCGGGGTCTTCCTCCTGCTCAGAGGCCTGCCTGCTCGACTGATGCTTGGAGCCTTTGCCGCCCGACAGCTGAGAGCCAGGCATGGCGGCCGCCCTGGTCTGGAAGTCTTTGCTGCCTGGGCTCACGGCCGCGCATTCTCCGTTCTCGGGGCGGTGCAGGGCGACAGCCTTCTCCACCTTTGCCTGTTTGGGATGGATGGTGAGGGAAGCTGAACCCTCGGCAGCTCTAGGGCAAAGCATAGAGGGCTGGTTTAAAGCGGGGTTTAAGACATCGGGGCCTCTCACGCCTGACCCCCTCCTTCCATCCCAAAATCCACGGGGTCGGGGAGCTTTCCCTCTTCTCTGCCTCAAAGGCCGCAGGCCAGTACCTTTTCTTGCCCTTGACAGAGACTTTTGGAGACCTGTTTTCCACCGGGGCGGCGGCGGCCGGCAGCGGCCTGTCGAGATGGTTCCAGAGGCGGTGCTTTTCCAGCTGGGTTTTGGAGGTGAAGGCGGCTTCGCAGAACGGGCACGGGAAGGTCCGCTTCTCCACAACGGCGCCCTGGAAGAAGCAGGGAGAGGGAGAAGGAAGGGCTGTGCTTAAAAACGAAGGCAACCCAAGAGTCAACTTTGGGTCCCTTCCAACTCTAGTTTCATGATTCTAACTAAGCATATGACTTTTAAGACATTGCATCTACATACATTTGCATCGGAACAAAATACGTCATAGCATTCTCTCTCTGTTTTACCCGGAAAGTACAATTAATCCAGAATGCGGCAGCTAGACTGGTGACTGGGAGTGGCCGCCAAGACCACATAACACCGGTCCTGAAAGATCTTCATTGGCTCCCAGTACGTTTCCGAGCACAATTCAAAGTGTTGGTGTTGACCTTTAAAGCCCTAAATTGCCTCAGTCCGGTATACCTGAAGGAGCGCCTCCACCCCCATCGTTCTGCCTGGACACTGAGGTCCAGTGCCGAGGGCCTTCTGGTGGTTCCCTCCCTGTGAGAAGCAAAGTTACAGGGAACCAGGCAGAGGGCCTTCTCGGTAGTGGCACCCGCCCTGTGGAAGACCCTCCCATCAGATGTCAAGGAAATAAACAACTATCCGACCTTTAGAAGACATCCCTGTTTAGGGAAGTTTTTAATGTTTGATCTTTTATCGTGTTTTTAATACTCTGTTGGGAGCCGCCCAGAGTGACTAGGGAAACCCAGCCAGATGTGTGGGGCATAAATAAGTTGCTGTTGTTGTTTTCAGGTGTGGGGCACTTAAAAGATGGACCAATGATCTGACCTGGGATAACCTGACCTGGGATAAAGCAACTTCTTATGTTCCTGTGAAAGAGGGGGGAAAGGAGATTGCCTCCTCTGAGTTTGCAAGGACATTAAAAATAAATAACAATTCAAAAGTGCACACACACACTGCTGCCTTGCCAATCAGGAGCCCCTTTCTAAATCAATTTTCAAAATGCCAGGAGAACTGCAACATATATCTAATGAATGATCAGTTCACTGGCTGCACGCTGCGTCCCTACAAACCTCTCCCTATCCACCCCTGCGCCATGGTAACCCAAATTCTCTGCCAAAACATCTGAACTTCATGATCTGCCTGGAGCTATGCAAATGAAGCACATTTGGTATGTATCCACATGGACTGTGTAGGTAGTTAACGAATTAAAAAGCAAATAAATACACTGTGCTTATGTTGAGTAATTCATTCTCAGTAGTCCCACAAGCTGGATTCTCTTCTTTTTATCAGGCATTGCCCCCAAACTAAGGCATTTAAGCTTAAGGGCTTGCATGTTTTTCTGTCTCCCCCCCCCCCCGTAACATGAAATCTGACACTCCTAGGATACAAACCAATTTCTTCACTTGTACTGAATGATCACAGAATCCACAGTATAAACATCACTCAGCCCAACACCCTCCAGGCCAGAGGTATGAATGGGAACTCCTGTTACTTAACTGTAATCCTAAAAATTTCCCCACTTAGGCAAGTTTGGGCATTTCCTTCCTGCTCCTCCGGCTACAATTTCCCTTCCAAGCTCAAAGCAACTTGGAGCATATCAATAAGCATTTGTCAAAATAACACAAATGCAAAGTAAACAGAGCAGTGCAGAAGAGCGCAAACAACAGTGTCCCAGAAGAAGTTAATTCACACTTCAAACAACTGCCCAAACTTGTCTAAGCAGGGAAGCTCTGCTCTTGGAGCGCGGGATAAAGTGAGATGCATCAGGTCTGCTTTGGAAGAGGGGTTTGCAGCTACTATGATGTTGCACCTGACCAAGTCCTTCTCCGGGATCTGAGAAAGTTAAGTTGCAGGGCAGGATGCCTCTGAATAATGCAGGAATCGCAAGGGGGGAGAGAGCTGCTGCCCTCAGGTCCCTTGTTGTGGGCTTCCTATAAGCAGCTGGTTGGCCACTGTGGGAACAGGATCTCTAGCTCATTTCCTCTGTGTGTGTACAAGCAACTCCCCACTTGCAAAGGATCTGCATGCGTGCTCCTGCAGACATGCAAGCCGTTTTCAGCACTGAAAGGAGGCAAGGGTGCAATGGGGGGGGGACCCCACTCGCACACATCCCAGGTTGCGTGCGGTTGCCGGGAATGAAGCCCTGCACAGGCTGGGAGACGCCTGTATTTAATAATAATAATAATAATAATAATAATAATAATAATAATAATAATAATAATAATTTATTATTTATACCCTGCCCATCTGGCTGGGTTTCCCCAGCCACTCTGGGCGGCTTCCAACACAATATTAAGATACAGTAATGCCTCAAACATTAAAAGCTTCCCTAAACAGGGCTGCCTTCAGATGTCTTCTAAAAGTCTGGTAATTATTTTTCTCTTTGACATCTGATGGGAGGGCGTTCCACAGGGTGGGTGCCACTACCGAGAAGGCCCTCTGCCTGGTTCCATGTAACTTGGCTTCTCGTAGTGAGTGAACTGCCAGAAGGCCCTTAGCGCTAGACCTCAGTGTCCAGGTAGAACGATGGGGTGGAGACGCTCCTTCAGGTATACAGGGCTGAGGCCGTTTAGGGCTTTAAAGGTCAGCACCAACACTTTGAATTGTGCTCGGAAACGTACTGGGAGCCAGTGTAGTTCTTTCAAGACAGGTGTTGTGTGGTTTCAGTGGCTGCTCCCACTCACCAGTCTAGCTGCCGCATTCCGGATTAGTTATAGTTTCCGGGTCACCTTCAAAGGTAGCCCCACGTAGAGCGCATTGCAGTAGTCATGAATGGATGGCAACTGGAGCAAGGCCTTTCCAAAGGTTTTTTTGGAGGGAAGCAGGGCAGAATTTATAAGGGAAGGAGATGCACATCAAAGTATCCTACATGCAGGCGAATTAGAGGACAAGGGTAGCTCAGTGGCAGAACACCTCTTTTGCAAGCAAAACACCCCCAATTTAGTCTTCCAGGCATCTCCAGGGAGGGCTGTCCTCTGCCTGAAACCCTGGCAAGCTGCTGTCAGTCTGGGTAGACAATACTGAACTAGATGGACCGGTTTTCTAGCACAGTGTAAGGCAGCAGAATCTAAATACCTCTGTGGCTTCAAATGGTACTAGAAGCCAAACAGCAAATGACTGGCTAGTTAGTTCAGAACCCGCCTTGCGGCAGCAACATCAGAAACCACAGCGGACAAGATTCATAATTTGGTCTTAATGCAACTTCTGTGTTAAAATAACAGTGACCAAACGGCCAAGGCTTGTGGGTTGGTGTGCAGAGATGGGGAAATATTTCTGTTTTGGTTTCTCTTGAGTTTCTCTCTTTCCTAATCTTAAATTCAGTCCTCCAATTTTCCACATCAGTTTGTGATTTATTTTTTTAAAGTCCTCATGACTTCCTCAGCATTTTAGTGCAAATTTCTCCTTTTTGCAAAACAATCTTCCCTGACATTGCACCTTTTTTTTTTTTTTTGAAAACTAAAATGCCTTCCTGTGCACACCGGGGCTGGAAAACTGCATTGCAAAATGTGGAGAAGTGCAGATTTCAAAGGCTGGCTGCCTTTTGATTTGCGCATTGTTTCGGAAGGTGCAAATTTGGTATGTTCGTCTTTTAAATGATAATCGAATCGAATTTCTTCTCTCACTTCCCTAAGTGTCTGTATGCATATAAATCAGGGGTCAGCAAACTTTTTCAGCCCTTTTTCCGTGCATTTAGTGTCTTTGCCTTGCTGGTGTGTGTCCTTGGACTCTGATACAAATGAAGGATAGACAGGGGCATGTCAATTGGTGCAGAAATCAACCTACTGGAGAAATGTAGAATTTGCACTTGTTGCCCTGCCCACTTTTGTCTCTGGCCCCGCCCACCAGTGCCATGTGGCCCCCAGAAGGTGTCACAGAATAGAATGTGGCTCTCAGGATGGAAAAGACTACCCATCCCTGTATGGAGAGGATGAGGGGAGGGCCGGTTTAGAAGGTCAGAACCCTCTCCAACAAACAATGGAGTGTATCCCACTAAGTCAGGGGTCAGCAAACTTTTTCAGCCGGGGGCAGGTCCTCTGTCCCTCAGACCTTGCGGGGGGGCCAGACTATATTTTGGGGGGGGAAAATGAATGAATTCCTATGCCCCACAAATAACCCAGAGATGCATTTTGAATATAAGGACACATTTTACTCATGTAAAAACACCAGGCAGGCCCCACAAATAACCCAGAGATGCATTTTAAATAAAAGCACACATTCTACTCATGTAAAAACACGCTGATTTGGACAGTCCGCAGGTCGGATTTAGAAGGCGATTGGGCCGGATCTGGCCCCCGGGCCTTAGTTTGCCTACCCATGATATAAATTAAGACAGCCACACTCTGGCAGGGTCAAAGAAGTGTGAAGAGGGGCCACATTTGGCACGGACATTAACACAAGCTGTAAATACGGGTTACCAAAACAGAACACACACCTCCATCCTCCTTACCCCTTGACAGCGCTGGTAGTGGTACTTCAGGCCATAGATGCTGGGGAATTCGAGCCAACAGCCCGAGTTGGGGCATTTCACCCTGGAGTGGGCCTTGAACTCTTCTTTCCACTGGTTCATCAGAGGCAGCTGTGATATAGGAAACATCCGTGGAGCAGAGGGGAGGGGGAAAGACCCACTTAATGCAAGAGGAATGAAAGCAAAATTTCTGAACGCGCAAACCCCAGTATCTCACATCGAATCGAAGGCTTCCCAGAGAAAAGACGTGGGACCAGAATCAGGCCCCCTCCTGCACTCAAATGCACCAAGCTTGTCCTATCCTGTCTCTACTTCCTTTTCCCCAGTTCCCAAGAAATGAAACACGATTAAAATCTTACCGGAATATCCTTCAGGGCCTGGCCGTCTGCCTTCGGCCTCCCTTTCCTTTTGCCTTCCGTTTTATCGTTAGTTGCATTTCCTGCAAGCAGAATGGGGAAGAATGACATGGTGGGTTGAATTAATACACCCGTCCATCTTACATTTTGTTGGATGTCCACTGAATTAAAATGCTTTCTCCTGCATGACAAAGAAGACTTGGCGCTGACCACACTTCTTCTTTGGCGATAACTCGCAGCTGAGTAAGACTGTCTTCCATGAACACAGTTTTAACAGGGAGTCAGTAGTAACTGTGGAGGCCAATTCTGGATCCACATGTTCTCCCACAGTGAGGATATAGGTTTCCATGTGAGAGTTAATCACGTTGAGGGTTTGCCAAGCATGCTTTCTTCTTAGCACCTTTCTCCTTTTGTCCTGAGTTCGAGCGTCTTCAAAGTCCATTACACCTTTGGTAAAAGGCTATTCTCCAATTGGAGCTCTCACAGGCCAATGTTTCCCAATTGGCAGTGTTTATACTGCATTTTTTAAAGATTTGCCTTGAGAGATTCTTTAAACTTCTTTTGTTGACCACCAGTATTACGCTTTCTATTTCTGAGTTCGGAATAGAGTAGTTGCTTTGGAAGACGATCATCAGGCATCTGCACATGACCAGTCCAACAAAGTTGATGTTGAAGAATCGTTGCTTCGACACTGGTGATCTTTGCTTCTTCCAGTACACTGGCATTAGTCTGCCTGTCTTCCCAAGTGATGTGTAAAAATTTTTGGAGACACCATTGATGGAATCTTGCGTGGAGTTGGAGATGGCGTTTGTAAGTGGTCCATGTTTCACAAGCATACAGTAAGGCTGGTAGTACAATAGCTTTGTAAACAAGCATTTTGGTTTCCCTGTGAATGTCCCGGTCCTCAAACACTCTGCACACTATATGCAGAGTGTTCTAGCTAACTAGCACAGGCTACACAATCTGCACTGGATTCTTGCTCACTTGCGTTGTCTTGGGCCCTTTCCGCAACGCGTTCTTGTAAACTCGAAAACAAAAAAGACCTACCAGACCTATAACATTGGTTGGATGTGCTTTCACACAAGCGGAAAGCACAACCCCTCCTAGGCTGCTTGTTGTTACCACGTGCAATGTTGCTAATGCTGTACAGAAAGGTTGGGTGGCTGAGATCCCTGCATGGCCGGGGTTGAACTAGATGACCCTTGGGTGCCCCTTCCGTGGTTCTATGAGTACGTTTTGAATGGAAGGCAACATCCTAACCAATTTAGATTGTGGAAGTTCAGACAGTTCGTTGAATAAGGGCAATGGCAACTTGCGCAGGAACCACCCCCGACATCGGAAGCCAACTGTGTTCTCAACTCGTCAAAGCTCAAAAAACTTGAGAACGGCCGTTTCCAATCTGAATTGCTGTTCCAAAGTACGGGGTTTCGTTTCGGTTGGGGACAACATTTTCTGGCAGGCAATGAAATACAGTGGTACCTTTGGTTGCAAACGGGATCCGTTCTGGAGGCCCGTTTGCAACCTGAACAGAACGCAACCCGCGTCTGCGCATGCACAGATCGTGATTCGCCGCTTCTGCGCACGTCATTTTGCGTGTCTGCGCATGCGCGAGCGGCAAAAACCGGAAGTAACCCGTTCCGTTGCTTCCGGGTTGCCACAGGACGCAACCTGAAAACACCCAACCTGAAGCAAACGTAACATGAGATATGACTGTACCTTTTATTTAACCAAAGTGTTAATTTATCAAGTACCCTGACCTGAATGTGCTTCCTAGCTACAGTGGTACCTCAGGTTAAGAACTTAATTCGTTCCGGAGGTCCGTTCTTACCCTCAAACTGTTCTTAACCTGAAGCAACACTTTAGCTAATGGGGCCTCCCACTGCTGCCGGAGCACAAATTCTGTTCTCATCCTGAAGCAAAGTTCTTGAGCTGAGGTACTATTTCTGGGTTAGCAGAGTCTGTAACCTGAAGCGTCTGTAACCTGAAGCGTCTGTAACCCGAGGTACCGCTGTATTTATTTCCTTGCACTGCCGTGAGACAGGTAGCCAGGAAGACAACTTCCACATTTGAGACTCCCATCACCCCGAACCATTGATAACGATAGGAGTTGTAGCCCAGCAACATATAGAGGGCCCTGTTTTGGTTCCCCTAGCCAATGGCGCTTCTCTTAATTCAAACGAAACCCTTCCCATTGCAGCTGGAAAAGGTGGTCTGCTTACTCACCAAGCCTCGACTGCTCGTACGCCGGGTTTATCTTCATCTCTGCCTTGCTGCTGTCTTTGTCTGCGCTGGTCTTGCTAGATCCAGCCACCTTCTTTCCACCTCTGTAGGAATATGAATCTGCCATGGCTAAAAGCAAAGGAGAAAGGACACGATCAAGCAGGCCGATTGCTCAACGTGAGAATGGAGCTTGACAGAAAGAAGACTTGGGTTGCACCTGTCACCTGCTATATAAAAAAGCAGCCTGATCCTGCCTCTTCAAGAGTAGGAGGCCAATTCCTGTGTAATAATAATAATAATAATAATAATAATATATATTATTTATACCCCGCCCATCTGGCTGGGTTTCCCCACTCTGGGCGGCTACCAACAGAATATTAAAAATACAGTAAACATCAAACATTAAAAAACTCCCTAAACAGGGCTGCCTTCAGATGTCTTCTAAAAGTCGGATAGTTGTTTATTTCCTTGACATCTGGTGGGAGGGCGTTCCACAGGGCGGGCGCCACCACCGAGAAGGCCCTCTACTTGGTTCCCTGTGACTTCGCTTGTCGCAGCGAAGGAACCGCCAGAAGGCCCTCGGCGCTGGACCTCAGTGTCCGGGCGGAAAAATGGGGATAGAGACGCTCCTTCAGATAGACTGGACTGAGGCCGTTTAGGGCTTTAATGGTCAGCACTGAATTGTGCCCTGAAATGTACTGGGAGCCAATGTAGGCCTTTCAGGACCGGTGTTATATGGTCTCGGCGGCCGCTCCCAGTCACCAGTCTAGCTGCCATGTTCCAGTTGTTTCCAAATGTACATGATTAGCACAGGCTTGGAGAACCCTAGGGCCTCCAGATGTCACTGGACTCCAACTCCCATCAACCCCAGCCTGCATGGCCAGCAGTCAAGGATGCTGGGAGCTGAAGTCCAGTAAAGGTCTGGAGGGCCGCAGATTCCCCAGCCCAGGAAAAGCAGCAATTCAACAGCCGCTGAGGTTGAAGCTCCCCTATTAATGAATTCAGGGAGACGCGCTCAGCCCAAGTGCAAATACAGAAAAAGTGAATATCATGATTTCTCTGTCAGGCCTTGCAGAGACCCTCCATGCAGAGAGTTCTTCTCTTTTGCTTCTTTTCTCCTTTTCTTGATGAGAAAGGGGAGAGGGAGCGGGTTTTAATGAGGAGATCTGAGCGATAAATTTCCAATTTTCCTTATTAATGGGGAAACTGTGCTAAACAGGGAAACGTGAGCCTTATCTAAATTCTCGGTATGAATCATTTAAGTGGTCTTCCCTATAAAACGATGAGCGTTCAGCCAGGTTCCTATTGGAAGCCATCTCTCCCCCCCCCCAATTCAAGACACAAGAGCAGCTTTAACTGCAGGATGCTTATATCAATGCATCAGCTTTGAACCAGATGCACTCTATAAATTTAAAGCCGTAGAGCTGTGGGTTAAATCACAGAGCCTAGAAGCCATCAGAAGGTTGACGGTTCGAATCCCCGCGACGGGGTGAGCTCCCGTTGCTCAGTCCCTGCTCCTGCCCACCTAACAGTTCGAAAGCACGTCAAGTGCAAGTAGATCAATAGGTACCACTCCGATGGGAAGGTAAACGGCGTTTCCTGTGCGCTGCTCTGGTTCACCAGAAGCGGCTTAGTCATGCTGGCCACATGACTCAGAAGCTGTACCTCCCTCGGCCAATAAAGCGAGATGAGCGCTGCAACCCCAGAGTTGGTCACGACTTGACCTAATGGTCAGGGGTCTCTTTACCTTTACCACTTTGAACAGTCATGGCTTCACCCAAAGAATTCTGGGAGCTGCAGCTTTGGTTAAAGGTGCCGAGAGTTGCTAACAGGCCCCATCCTACTCAGAGATAAAATTCCCAGAGTTCCCCATGAAGAGCGACTGAGAATTGTAGTTCTATGAAAGGAACCGGGAGGGGGCGTCTTCCCTAGCAACTCTTAGGGTGCTTAAACTACAGCTCCCAAAATTCTTTGGGGTGGCCATGACTGTTTAAAGTGGAATCACAGCGCTTTAAAAGAATGCTGTGAATGTGGTCATTCGGTGGCTGGTGGTGGACGCATGGAATTAAGCACTCCTGCACCAGCTGTTTCCGGTCCTGGGTAATAACTAGATTTTCTGCAAAATGCCAATTGCGCCCAGGCCCATGGAAGGCCTTCGGGGTAGTTTCTGCCGTGCCTGAGAATGGAAGAAAGTCGTTTCGCAGAACCCCCTGGCCCAAGCGAGCACCGCTGGGAGCTGACGCAGAGAATTCCTTGCTTTCTCTGGGGGAGCGTTTGTAGAACAACCAGATTATCAGGCAAATCAGGCTAGAAAGCAAAGCTTTAGCTTAATCATTCCTTCAGGACAGAAGTCTTTGTTATATTTCGGCTCTGACCGACCCAATTCTTCCCTTCCCCCCCTTAAAAAAAAAGTTAATCTGCAATGTGGCCATTTGCAGCAACCTAGCCATTAATTAATAATGTCAAAGGCTCTGCCTGGCTCTTTGCCTGGGACCACATTAGGCTTAATACCTGGGAAACCGACCTGGAGCAAAAAACGTGGAACAGGAGGATAGAAGGAATTCTGAAAGGCCTCTTAACTCTGCAAGTTTTTTTGCTATTTCTCTGGGACGATTAAAGCCCATGGGTTAGTAAAAAAAGGTAAAGGTAAAGGACCCCTGGATGGTTAAGTCCAGTCAAAGGTGACTATAGGGTTCCGGCGCTCATCTCACTTTCAGGCCGAGGGAGACAGCATTTGTCCACAGACAGCTGTCCGGGTCGTGTGGCCAGCAGGACTAAACTGCTTCTGATGCAATGGAACACCGTGACAGAAACCAGAGAGCACAGAAACGCCGTTTACCTTCCCGTCGCAGCGGTACCTATCTATCTACTTGCACTGGTGTGCTTTCGAATTGCCAGGTTGGCAGAAGCTGGGACAGAGCAACGGGAGCTCACCCCGTCACGGGGATTCGAACTGCTGACCTTCTGACTGGCAAGCCCAAGAGGCTCCGTGGTTTAGACCACAGCGCCAACCACATTGGTTAGTATTCAACACTGTGGTGGAAGCCAGGGGAGAAGTTGGATATTGGATTTGCAGAACTGAGAATCATCATCTTCTTATGTGGCAGAACAGAAGAGATGTGGACAGGATCTGTGCACAATGCAGAGGTTATCACTCTCCTGGAGAGCAGCTGGTCTAGAATCTGCGATCCAGCCTTTTTTGGATGGGGGTGGCACTCTCTTTGAAGAGTCAAGTAAAGGATATAGACCAGGGTTTCCCAAACGTGGGTCTCCATCTGTTTTTTTCAGACCACAATTCCCATCATCCCTGACCGCTGGTCTTGCCAATGATTGGAGCTGTAGTCCAGAAACAGCTGGAGACCCAAGTTTGGAAAACACCAACATAGACAGACAAAACTTTTTCTCCCTCTTACAACGCCAGAACTCATGGACAAGCAGCAAAGTTGAATGCTAGAGGAGTCAAGAGTGCAAAAAATAAAGTTCTTCCTCATGCAGCTCATGCGAGGATGTGATGGCGACCAAACTGGAAGGCTATCGCCTTGCCGTTTTACCGCTGATTGGGAGCAAATGTCAATCTGTGGGGAACCCAATTGCCGTTCACTCCGATACAGCAGTAAAAAGTGAGTTTTCCTGGGGAAAATGTCAGGACAACACAACCATTTGGACCTGTGCCTAGAAACTCATCACAAAAGACCGTCTGGATGACCCCTTCATTAGGCTTATTGATTTCAATGGGTTTACTCGTGAGTATAATTTTTGTTGATTGATTGAATTTATATACTGCCCTAACCTGTTCACAGAATAAAATCAAGATATAAAACCACAAAATAACTAATAAAAAAACAACAACCCAATAGCAACCCTCCCCAAAAAATCACATTTTAAAAGAGCATAGGATAGAAATCAGATCACCCAAAGGCCTGGTTAAAAAGGAATGTTTTTGCCAGGCGCCTAAAAGTGTATAATGAAGGCGCCAGGCGAACTTCCCCGGGGAGAGCATTCCACAGATGGGGAGCCACCCCAGAGAGTAAAACTCAGGTGACTACCACTCATTGCAAATCAAGAAGCAATGGCCTGGTTCTGCCTGAAACGGCAGTTTCTTTCTGGGTCGAACCGTTCAGAGACTCATAAGCTGGATTTAAAACATCAAAACTATATAAACTTATGCCGGGGAGGAAAGAACGATCTCCCTGACATGTTAGTCATCTATAAAGAGAGATTAAAAATCCTGAGAGCGCCCACTTTCCATCTAGTGAGGTCCAGCCCAGGCACAAGTTTGGGAACTGAGGGCTCATCCACACTCCAATTTGCCTCTCTCCTTGGAAAACCAGCACCGTACCGCTGAATCGGACCAAATGCCAACTGGGTTTTCCTGGGGAAAGCGGCGGGCGGCAGATGGAAAACGGGCTGGACCTGTGCTTTTAGGCATGGGGAAAGCAGAAGTTTGGACAGTGCCGACATACCTGCCCAATGCTGGGGAGACCCGCGACACACACATGTGATGTCATGCGGTGGGGGGGGGAGGCCCAACGGGGCCTGCCGCTACCGCAGGTAAGGCTACACAAGGCCCATCATGGCGGCAGGTAGACCCGGCAGGGCACGTCGTGGCCACAAAATACTGAGGGACCCCAGTACCCTCCTTGAAAATGGGGGGGGGGTCCTCATTCAGCACCCCTGAATCACTAAGCCTATACAGTGGTACCTCGGGTTAAGTACTTAATTCGTTCCGGAGGTCCGTTCTTAACCTGAAACTGTTCTTAACCTGAAGCACCACTTTAGCTAATGGGGCCTCCTGCTGCCACCGCGCCGCCGGAACACGATTTCTGTTCTCATCCTGAAGCAAAGTTCTTAACCTGAGGTAGTATTTCTGGGTTAAAGGAGTCTGTAACCTGCAGCGTATGTAACCTGAAGCGTATGTAACCCAAGGTACCACTGTACTGATAACCAATTAGACTGTCTGCTTCCTCATTTCTTAGGATGTGGGTGGCGCTGTGGGTTAAACCACAGAGCCTAGGACTTTCCGATCAGAAGGTCGGCAGTTCTAATCCCCGCGACGGGGTGAGCTCAAAGTGCAAGTAGATAAATAGGTACCGCTCTGGCGGGAAGGTAAACAGTGTTTCCGTGTGCTG